TGAGAGATATTTAATATTTATTTTAATTTACATCCTAAACAGTATAGTTACATATTGGCTTAAAGTAAATTAATAAATATTAAATTTGATTATAAACTGCTATATAAAGTGACATCATTTTAAATTTGTTTAAATTCACAGGGGTTTTCGGAAACAACAACCCTAGTTTACTATCATCTTATTGCAGATTAGTTTTAATCTGGGATGAGTTGTTCGACATTTCCGAACGCAAATCATTTATATAAGGTATTTCGAACTTAAGCGTAACTTTTATATTTTGAAATGTTTCAAAAAAGTGACGAAAACATTAATAAACTAACCTAAAATACCAATCAGCTGATAAATAACGATAAAAACAAAATCAAAACACCGGGATTCATTTAAATCCCGGTACAAGTGCGTCATATCGATGACGTCATCAAAACTACCGGTAAAAAATGTGTTACAGGTACCGGGATTCTAGACACAGCGATATATCAAACTTGTGTATTTATTAATATTTTTGTTATTTTTACTATACCTACTTTAACAAACAGTTTTAATATATTTTTGTGTAGTAGGTAGTAGGTAGGTATCTAAACCTGTATTTTCAACAAGTGGTTCTATTATTATTTCCTTCCCGTTGGTTTTCATGATAGGTACATCACATGAATATATCATTATGTACCAGTAGGTACACTGGCTTTTTTTACCTAGTTTATCATGAAAAATTTATATACAGATCGGAAAACCTACTAGACACATGGGAGTAATAAGACGAATTAGCTTGTACCCGGTTAAGGCGAATCGAACCGGTGCTGCCCACTGGCGTAGCCAGGGAAGGGGACAAAGCAGCATTTGCCCCCTTCTCCCAAAGGCTTTTAAATTTTATTAATAATTCAAAATAAAACAAACAAAGAATCAATTCAAGTCCTACGTAAATAATCAAATACATACATCATAATATAAGTAACGTTCTACTATGAATTCTTATCAAAATTTGTTTAAATGGCCATATCTCTGCAATTAGAAGTCCCAAAAATACCGTGAAAAAACCCAAAAATTTCGCGCCTGCGGCGTTTTTCCTTCTGCAGCGGTCGCGGCGAAACTGCAACTGCTATAAGAATCACTTCCTGTAAATTTCCTCTCGTCTCAAGGCAAAATCCTGGCTACGCTAATGGTGCTGCCTAAGCCGACTATAGCCGAACTGCCGAAGATGCACGAGTTTTGATAATATGCGGGGACCTGCAGGGACGATCAATGATTCAGCATAGCGATCGCCGATCCTGAATTAAAATAAATGGGTATCCGCCAACTGGTCCCATTTAAGTCTATGTGTCTATGTTAATTTTTGGAGCCCGAGCCCCCATAGTAATTTTGAAATTCCGGCGCCTATGGTCCGCAGGGACCTTTAATAGGGTACTCCAAATGAGGTTCTGGCTTATTCCTCTGACTCAAGGCAAAATCCTGGCTACGCTAATGGTGCTGCCTAAGCCGACTATAGCCGAACTGCCGAAGATGCACGAGTTTTAATAATATGCGGGGACCTGCAGGGACGATCAATGATCCAGCATAGCGATCGCCGATCCTGAAGTAAAATAAATGGGTATCCGCCAACTGGTCCCATTTAAGTCTATGTGTCTATGTTAATTTTTGGAGCCCGAGCCCCCATAGTAATTTTGAAATTCCGGCGCCTATGGTCCGCAGGGACCTTTAATAGGGTACTCCAAATGAGGTTCTGGCTTATTCCTCTGTATAAAAAATCCGCAAAATACCGTTTTAAAAATTGGATATATGAAAATGTCTTCTAACTTCATAAAAGGACCCAGATTCTTCATGCTTAAACGACTAAGGACATCGCAGTTCAGTAGAAGGTGGTGAGGGGTCTCCTCTCCATCTTCACAGAATCTACAGGTAGCGTTTTCTGTCAACCTCTCCTCTCCCCCGTAGGTGTTCCTTAAGTCTGCAGTGTCCCGAGAGAAACATGCTTTTGAGTCTTATCTTGCTAAGGTTGACCAGCAGTTCTGATTTTTTTTGTTCGACGTTGCCCAATAAATCCTTGGCCTACGTAGTCCTAGCTGTTGTAACCATTGTTTGTTTCTTTTTAAGAATTCCTTGAAAGTGCGCATTTTTGTAAAGCTAGAATGGTTGTGGCCTAGTAAAGGCAAGTAACTAGAGGCTTCTGTTCTCGCAAGTGTGCGCAATCGTTGCCCTCAACCCCTATGTGTCCATGTACCCAGAGGAGGCTTACTTTGTTTTCTTTTCCTTATTCATCGAATTTCTGTAGACTGACAGACAGCAGTATTGGAACTGTCTGTATAACATTTCCTGGAGTTTGCTTCTGTTAGATACAAAAGATGTGCACAATTTGAGAGAGGAAAAGTCATGCCAAAGTTTATTTTCTCTTAGATATCAATTTTTGCCAGTCTAAGATATAATCCACTGACACGGCCTTCACTATTATTTGGAGTGGATAAATCAAGTTCTAGCATTAGTGACGAAGTTGGAAATTAACTCATTGCTCCTGTTATAATACAGAGACACGCAAGTTTCTGCACTCTTCCTACGGGTTTCCTAGCTGTCACAAGCTGGGTTCGGCTATGCCAAGCTACCACTCCGTAAATGATAATAGAAAAATAGAAAACACATAGAAAAATTCAATTCATATACTATTGAAATTTTTTAGATACCTACTTTCGAAAGTGAATATTCCAAGTCCGGACATTCTGTCACACAAGTACCTATACCTAGTGAAGAATGAAGTGAATATTTAAAAGCGATAAGGACATATACCCATTATTTTATGCTTCAAAATGCAGGGTTCGAAATCTTTAGAGTTAAATATTAAATTCGCCTACCTACTCATCTTCTTATTGTTATTGATGTTTGGACATTTGATATTTCCAGTAGAAATATAACTAGTGCATAAAATATTTGCGGAAATTTTTGAAAATTTTGTCTGAAGCCAATTTTTTGACAAAATCATGAGCGCATAGCGCCTGAAAAAATCCCGAACCCGAAGGGTGAGGGATTTTTTCTTTGGCGCTATGCACGAATGGTTTTGTTTAAAAAAATTGACTAAAGACCAAATTTTTAAAAATTTCCCTTAGGAAATATTTTATGCACGTGTTATATTTTGATAGGAAATTTCCCGAGTTTGAAGTTTATTTATTATAAGTTGTGGCGAATATTTTAATTATGATGATGTGTTCTGTGATGGTGATTGTTATTGATATTTCCCATTTAAATTGCGTTTGTCAAAAAATATACACTTTGTCAGATTTCTGACATCAATGCATTTTAAATGGAAAAGCTGGTCTCAATGCCAAAAATGACAACCTAAAGGTGGGTTTTCGACAGACGCCGCGCGGCATTGTCGCATTGGAAATTGCACCCGGAAATATCCCTCTCACCAGGGATATTTCCACTTGTCAATTTTTGAAAATTACGAGGTAAATTTCCAGTTAAATATGCACAAGGGAAATTTCCAGTAGTAATATAACTAGTGCATAAAATATTTCCGGAAATTTTTGAAAATTTTGTCTGAAGCCAATTTTTTAACAAAATCATGAGTGCATAGCGCCTGAAAAAATCCCGAACCCGAAGGGTGAGGGATTTTTTCTTTGGCGCTATGCACGAATGGTTTTGTTTAAAAAAATTGACTAAAAACGAAATTTTTAAAAATTTCCCTTAGGAAATATTTTATGCACGTGTTATATTTGGATAGGAAATTTCCCGAGTTTGAAGTTCATTTACTATAAGTTGTGTCGAGTATTTTAATTATAATGATGTGTTCTGTGGTGGGGATTGTTATTGATCTTTCCCATTTAAATTACGTTTGTCAAAAAATATACACTTTGACAGATTTTTGACATCAATGCGCTTTAAATGGAAAAACAGGTCTCAGTGCCAAAAATGACAACCTAAAGGTGGGTTTCCGACGGACGCCGCGCGGCATTGTCGCATTGGAAATTGCACCCGGAAATATCCCGCTCACCAGGGATATTTCCACTTATCAATTTTTGAAAATTACGAGGTAAATTTCCAGTTAAATATGCACAAGGGAAATTTCCACGCAAATACAACAGATATTTTCCCAACAAGTGCCAAAAATACATTTAGTGGAAATGTATGTAAATGATTTCACCCAATACTGATATTTGTATTTGTTAATGCAAATACTTTTTGAAGTATTTGATATTTTAATACCTTCTAATAGTATTTAACTACTTTTAAAAGTAATCAAATATTATTGAAAATCTTTGGTTAACTACTTTCGAAAGTGCATATTCCGAGACCGCACATTCCCTAGTGAAGAGAGAGCACAAGTACCTAGTCAAGAGAGAGCACAAGTACCTAGTGAAGAGTGGAAAGAATATTTAAAAACGATAAGGACATACCTATTATTTTATGCTTTAAAATGCAGGGTTCAAAATGTTTAGTGTAAAATATTGAATTCGCCTACCTACTTATCTTCTTATTGTTATTGATGCTTGGATATTTGATATTTCCACGCAAATACAACAGATATTTTCCCAACAAGTGCCAAAAATACATTTAGTGGAAACGTATGCAAATGATTTTACCCAATACTTACTTAGTATTTATATAAAAAAATTTCGGCTGAAGCCCATAGATACTTAGTCCCAAATCAAATTTATGACAATATGGCAAATATGACTTTTGAATATTAAAAATCTTTTCAATGCAATTAAAGTACCTACCGAGAATCTACATACTCTGGTCGAATCGAACAGCAGTTTTTGCATAGTGTTTTTGCATAATGTTTTAACGATAACAAAGAATAACAAAAAAATTAATCCACTAATCATTTTAATAGGGAAAACACTTTTAAAAGATCCTTGCTCAGATATTTGAAAAAAAAAACAGGAAAAAGTTAACATTGTCAATCAGATCATTAAGATCATTTCCATTTTCCAAGTAATTTTTCTGGTATGTTAAACCTTTGACGAGTCATTAAAATACGGTATACACTATGCAAAAACTAAGTGGTAGGTACTTAACACATTACCTTGTTTGTTCTAAATACAGAAAATTTTAAGACCCTCGCATTTTTTGAAGACCGCCGCAATCGTTATCAGGTCTTCAGTCAAAGTTGGAGTGTCAACCATCAATTAATTATAAATTTAAAAGAAAAATGTGTTTCGAAAGGCGAATAATTTTCATTGTTGCTGTAGTTAGTTTTTTAGTTCCATTGTGCGAATCTGCTAAAGTGAAAAAATTTCGTGAGTAGATTTTGGGTTTTGTATGGTAACTTAATTACAAAAACACAGGCTCGAATGGGCCACTAATAGAATATAAATAAAAACTAAATACAACTGTAGAGTTTCTGCATTATTTTAAATTTAAATTTTTGTTATATGCACCTATAGCTAAATTTTAAAAAATATTGACATTAGTAGGTGTTGGTAAACCATGATTTTTTTTTGGGAATGGTCAATAACAATTTCTGCTAATTGCTTGGTACTCAGGCAATTCTGGGTTTATGTAAATATTTATTGTACTTAGGTACCTATACAGTGTACATATAAGTACATAATAATTTTTTGAAAAGGATCCATGTACCTATAGCCCAATGTCAGTGAATGTCGAAAATGTTACAAAGTTATATGCGCCTTGTAATGTATGATGGATTTTTCCAGATTTTTAAAGATGATTTATGAATATCAAGTTAGTAGAGATCTAAATTCTTCTAGTTCAGAAATTATATGATAAATCTGCAGAATATGAAACAAAACTATGACTAAAGCCCACATTACATCTGTGTATTTTTTCGTGTATTTCTACATTCATGCATGTATAAATTCATGATTTTTTTTACGTGAGCAGCTGTCAAAAGTGTCAAATACACGGCTAATATTTTCGCTTTACATTCGTGTATTTTTTCATGTATAATATGAATACATATAGAAATACACAAAAAAATACACATATGTAATGCGGGCTTTAGCAATTCAATTTTTCTGAGTAAGAAACACAAGGTTAGCTCGCATCTTGAAAAAGACAGGGAATCGTGTAGAACATGGAAATCCTATAAAATATAGATTATTTGACTTTGCCACATATGGTTAAACTATGTATAATTGTTTATCTTTGAGTACTGCACAGAGGCGAAGTTAGATGTCTATGACCAGTTCATGATTCCGCGAAGAAATGCTTGTTTAATAAACAATATGATTAAATACTCAACTCAAATCTATCAATGTTTGCGTCAAGTCAAAGGTTTGGACCAAAATTGTTGAGCATAAGCAAATGAAAATTATGCAGAACAAATAGTCTAAAAACTACCCAATTCGTATGTTTTCAAGTTTGATGTCCGAGCTTTATTAGTTTATAGTGTAGTCAATCTAGGCAGGTTTATGCAGGTGAGGTAGAAAAAATTAGTAACAAAGTGATCTCTGCGGAAATGAGTAGTCAATAGCGTCCTAATTAATCCCTCAAAAATCGCACTTTGTCGCATTGGTGGAACTTGGAAAAAAATGGCCGCCATCTTGATTTTTTTGGAATTTATTGAATATTTCGTAAAGTATGCATTATAGGAAAAAAACTCAAGAGAACTTTTTTGTGGAGAATAAAAAGTTACTTATAATAATAGTATATTACATACCGAGTAGGGAAGTGTTTCATTACTGTCGAGAGATTTATATAGTCGATCGAGACGCGAAGCGTCGAGATTGACTATTAATCTCGAGACAGAAATGAAAACTTTCCTCCGAGGTTTGTATACTATTTTATTTGCAAGCACACCATTAATTATGATTAGTCATTGAATTTTTTTAACATTAAAATAATAAAACAAACATGCCAAAATATGTCATTCACCTGTTTTGACGTTTTTACCTGACATGTTCTCATTGTTGCCAGCAAAGGTAAATAAATTAGAGTGAGGGAAATCGGTGAGGGAAGTCGAATAGGGAAATCGGTGAGGGAAATCGAAGAGGGAAGTGACACAGGTAAAGTGTCACTTTCAAATTTTTAAAAAGTCAGTAATGTCTAGATTACATATATGGTTGCAAATAAAAGAAATTTCAACACTATTACCTGGAAAACAAAAAAGTTATTGGAATTCAATTCATTTAAAAATTTGGAAATTTTTGAACTTTAGGTAAAATCGTGAAATGTATGCATTTTCCTAATAAAACTTGGGAATGCCTTTTAGTAGAGGATTAAAGCTACCTATATTGAGATATAAAAGAAAAGTAATTCTCGAAAAGTTTGGTGTCAAAGGTCTAAAGCATGGTCTCAAGTTTCCAGTCTTCCTCTTCCACTACTAGGAAGGTTTAAGGTTTAGTGATTTTTCATAAACCTTAAAGTATGGAATTAAATTTATTTGAATTAAGTGTCTATCCAGACAGTACAGAGACATCTTAAAGACGTCCTTAAGATGTCCACAAACGACATTCAAGACGTCTTTTAGACGTCTGCTTACGTCTTCAAAGCGTCTTAAAGACATATTAAATACGTCGTATGTTACAAAACCCAACGTCTTTCAAACATCTCCTTGAGGACTTAAAGCCGTATTCAGGACTAATATTTTATTATTATTACTCATTTTATATCTTTCAATTTTTGTCTATTCCAAATGCTAGGCTCTCAAATTCCTGAATTCTTTAAACGAAAACATGCGAAAAATTCATTTTGAAAGAAAACCATTTGAAGAGATAGTACTGAAAATTAAAAAAAATTCAAGAGCCTGAATTTCTAAAATACAGGAATAATGAGAATCCAAGAACTTGGAAAAAAGATTATTTCAACAGCCAGAAGAAAATAGGAATTAAGAATAAAGAAGTAAGGCAAAATCAAGAGCCCGGAATAGAAAAAAAATAGAAAAATTCAAGAATTTGAATTGAAAGAGGAACATTTTCTTGTCAATATTTCTTTATTATTTTTAACTCATTCTATAACTTTCAACTTTTATCTATCCCAGGCGTTGTATGTATGTGTTGGAGGTGTCAGTTGCACTGCGACCAAGGTTGATCTATTGTACCCCTCCTTCTGCTGCTAAGTTCGGGTTTCCTGCTTAAAGCAACCCCTCTAGTCCTAGGTCATTTAGGATGTCTAGCGGTTCCAGGGCTGGAATGTCTTCCACCTGTATAAGGGGGCTTCCCAGGTTCTTCATCCTTGATCGGCTTACGGCATCGCAGTTCAGTAGAAGATGGTGAGGGGTTTCTTCACTGTCTTCACAGAATCTGCAAGTGTTACCTTCTTCCAACCCCAGATTATGTAGGTGCTTATTCAGTCTGCAATGTCCCGAGAGAAACCCGGTTAAAGTTTTGAGACTTTTCTTGCTAAGGTTGACCAGCAGTTCAGATCTTTTTTTTATTCCAGGCGTTAGGCTCTCTGAAATAATTCTGAGGTTTGTTTAAAGCGTTCTAACTTAGCTTGAAGAGTTCTGGAGCATTCTAGAAGCTTTTTAGTAATTTCTAAATTGGGAAATCCGCTCCTTTGAAGAATCCATGTCAAATTTCAAAATGTTCTGATAAACTTTTACGTATACCAATACATTATTGTGTTTTTATACCTTGGATACCATCTACATAATTGATTACTTTATGCCCGTGCGGGCATAAAGTACGCATTATGGCCCGCGCGGGCATAAAGACGCAAAAAACAGTTTCCGATTAACTTATTCTTTATTAACAAAATATAAATTTACGTTTATATACATATTATTTTTTGTACAACTGTCGAAAAATTATGATGTTTGCACTCTGATGACAATTTGCGAAGTGACACTTTTTTCCCAGGAATAGGAGGGCATAATCATCTACTTAGTACCCTTGATACATAAATAACTATTAGAGCCCTTTCGAAAATCCAAAGTGAAGCTGAATTAGTTTAAAAACATTCTAAAAGGTTTCCAGTTCTAAATTGAATCGTGATTGTTCTAATATCTCTGAAGTTTCTAAATTGTTCCAAAATGCTCCATTCTAATAATGGTTCTGAAGTTTCCAAATGTTTTGAAGTGCTACAGGAATGCTTTCGGAAATTATGAATTAAATTTTAAGTGTTTTGAACTCTCGAAAAGGCTCATTATTAAAGTTCTAATGTGTTCTGTAGGATTCTAAATGGTTTCAAGTAACTTCTAAAATTGAATGAAAAACGAATTCTGTGGGAAATTTTTGTAGACATCTTGAAGACGTTCTTACGATGTCCACCAAACGACATTCAAGATGTCTTGCATACATCTTTAGGGCGTCTTAAATTAAAAACATCTTGAAGACGTCGTATGTTACAAAACACAACGCCTTTCAGACGTCTGCCTATGAAGACTCCTTTAGAACTAAGGCATTCTGAAGAGGCCTTCAACGAGATTTCTAAAAGTCTTTGAATCTCTTTTGAATACATGAACCATTATTCACTTTAAGGCCTGGTTGTACGAAATAGTGTGGCTCAGTTGTTCTTAAGACGTTTTTAAGACTTTGTGTGCTGTCTGAGTCTGGGTAGGTTCCTGCCCAAATGTTTTTCTCGTCATATGTGTTTTTGCTCCTACTCAACAAAAATATTTAGATTATTAAATTTATTGATTTTTTCTTCTGTTAAATGTAGTTTTTCATTTCGCACAAAAAAAAATACTTATTTGAGTTTTTTTCAGATGTTTTGAAAAATTCCATGTTACCAAATGAAATAAATGTCAATAACTATTTCGTTTTCCAGCTAATGGTCTTGAAATTTCTTTCAATATAGTGATTCTCCACAAAAAAGTTCTCTTGAGTTTTTTTGATATAATGCATACTTTACGAAATATTCAATAAATTCCGAAAAAATCAAGATGGCGGCCATTTTTTTCCAAGTTCCACCAATGCGAAAAAGTGCGATTTTTGAGGGATTTCCACAGAGATCACTTTGTTAAAAAACAATTCTACCCCAACCACCTATTTTGACTAACCTATTACGGGGCGTATTTTGTTTATTAGATTTATTTTTTTCTGTGATTGATATCAGTACTTCTGTGTCGAATTTGAGCTTGTTGTGTTGGTACAGGATAGGAGAATGATTAGGGTGGTTGGTGAGTGGTTTAATGTTAATTGATGTAATTAATTGCTATTCCATTCATACGCCTTGTGGCTTCTGCATGTTTGATTAATTCTGGTGTTGATGGTGTGCTGCCTAGTGTCACTATAGAAGTTTTCTGTCTCGGTTAGTGTGGGTTAGTTAGAACTAGGTACACACGTACTCTCTTCAATGGGCCACTTTCACATTTTTCAAAAACATATTTAAATTTTTCTTTTAGTCATTCTAATACTATCTGTATACTTTTTTTCCGAAAAAATAACGCTTATTTTTGAAAAAAAAAAAATATTTAAAAATAGAATTTGTAAACTGCCGCGAAAACACGAACTTGGTTTGTGACGTCACAAACCAGAAAATCAACAAAAATGCGAGGATGCCAAATTTCTCATTAGTGAATCATTACACATTTCACTAGCTATAAACTATTTTCGTTCTTTACTATATTATGAAAAAATAAAGGATAGTTATAATCCTTATTAACTCATTTAAATTTCGCATTTCTTCATGTGGCAACAAAAACGTCAAAATCGGCTTTAGCCAATCAGAGAGCGTTTTCAATCACGTGATTTTTCGTTTAAATTTTTAGTTTTTATTTATTAATTTATTTAATAATCTGACTAAAATCTTGCAAAATATTGTTCATTCTCGGTTGCATTGATGTATCTGCGTCAAAAAATATCATAATTTGCCATAATACCTACTTCTTGATGTTATATTTTACCCATAATCCTTTAATGATTATGGGTCTCAATTCTTGCTTGTATAGAAGAAATTTCCGAGGGATTATTCTTTGAGATTTAAAGAACAGTGCGCATGTATGGGTGACTCCGAGGTAATTGATAATTTTTGACATGTAATAGCAATAGGTGTGTCGTGTTGATGGTGAGTTTTGAGATGCGATTTTACCCGTGTTGTCATTGGCTTCGTCTTTCTTCTCTCATTGGGATCTTCTAGTTTTTCTTTCATTCCGCAACTCTGACTCTCGGAATGTCTGATGTGTACAGGCTTTACTGTGTTGAGAATACCGGCGATCTTCGGGTCTTGTCTCCATTGCTCTTAATCTTCAACTTTTTGATAATGAGGTTCAATCGCCTGTTTTTGATAAAATTCTTTGAAAATTGAACAAAACCATAGATAGAACATTTCCAGATGTTCTTGGAGTTTTACATTTGAGTTATTGTACAGGGCTTTGCCAAAGACTCTCTGAATGTCTAATGCTGCGATTCCCGATAGGCCCTTACATTGTAGACGGGTCATTCTTCTATGAATCTGGCGAGCTGAAGTTCTGTGAAGTGGTCGATGCCTGAAACCAAATCGTTACTCGGATCCTCAGTGAGGTGTTATTTTTTGTCAGAGACATATCGTTGTGTCTTCATGAGAATATTTCTATCACAAATCTGGCGATTGGTTAAGAAAAACGCGAATAAGTCTCCAGAGTTGTGGAAAAATTAGGTTTTTATCTGGCTCAGAGAGCAATTGGGGCGTTGGGATAAATCATTGGAAATACGATCCTACTAAATCAATTCCTAAAGCTGATGATGGTTTACAATAAACCAAAACGTCGGCTAGATAATTTTTGTTTTTCAACGTTTGATCCCAAACCCACCAAATTCAATCAACTAATGAATTTTTGGGCCAACTTAACATTTCTTAAATGATTCAGTATCCTTTTAAATCAGCTAACCTTAGCTAAACCTCAATCAAAATGTTTTCAAGTCATGCTGCAATCGAAACTTGCTATTTTTTAAATTAAAGATCTTATCTAGATTAATTTATTATTCAATGAAGAATTTATTATTTAAACATGTTTCAATACCTCATCAAGTTCAGGAAATTTTCATTACCATCGAATGCTGCAACAAATCGTGATCAAAATTCGAAAAGCGTCCGTGTTATTGAGCCATTAAAAAAATTCATTACTATTGACACCATAAAGATGTATTGCCCAATATATTTTTTCTACATACCTGATAAGGTAACTTAAATATTAAAAATAGCATGAATTTCCTCCGTAAAAGGCTTGCTTTGATAATTTTTTGTTTGTTCGTAGCTCCTTACATCCAAAAATGCCGCCAAAACGATACGGATTTTCAAAAATGCTTGTACCGAGCTTTGGAGAACATAAAACCCTACCTTAAAGATGGTATTCCTGAACTTAGACTACCAAAGATGAGCCCATTAATACTGCCAGAAGTTGGTATCGACGCTGGAGCTGGTTTTATTGCAAGATTTGAAGTAATAATTTCAAATAATTTAAATTAAATAGATTTTAAACCGGAAATTTTAGAATTGTGAAATTTATGGCGCTGATAAATTTGTAATTGAAAAATTTGATGTCAGCCTTGAAGAAAATAAAATCAAATTCGACATGTCGTTTCCACATATCAGAATCAAGGCCAGATATTACATTTTCGGCAAAGTTATGTTTTTCAATTTGGATGGGTCAGGGCCTGCAGATGGAAATATAAGTGAGTATCAATTATTATTGATTAAAAACCTAAGCAAAAATTATATTGTTTTTATTTTTAGCTGACTGTCGAGTAATTGCTACAATGAATGGTCAAAGATTCTATCAACAAGATAAACAATACCTCAAACTGACAGAAACTATAATCGAGGATATCGATTTTGGAAAGCCAAATTTTCAATTTTATGAATTATTCAAAAATAATCCAGAATTGACTCAGCAAACTAACAAAATCCTTAATGCTAACATGGTGGAGTTACTTACAGATTTGAGGCCTACTTTAGAGCAAGTTATTGGAAACACAGTTTTGGAGTTTATTGGCAGGGTTTTCCAGAGGTTTTCTATAGAGGAACTTTTTCCTAGATGAAATATATGTTAGCTTCTATCTTGTTTGTATATATTTTTTGCTTAATTATATTTTAAATTGAGTATAGTACACTTTTAGTTTCAAGATACCTACTGCCACAGGATAATCTAGGTACCTATATCAATTTATTTTTCACAAATAAGTATAAACAATTCCAAATCCCCTTATGTATGTTTATGTTGCTTCTATTAAGTCTTAGTTGAATTTTGGGTCAATCGGATATAGTTCGTCGTATGGAATAGTTTCTATAATGGTCTTAAACAGTAAATCTTCTAGAATCCTGCTAATGGCATGCTCTACCACTGGTTTAAGCTCTCCAAAAAGTACATCCACATTATCGTTGATTGCTTTATTTGTTGCTTGATCTAAAATGGGTATTTCAGAAGTAATTATCTGAAAATGTATACCTAAAAAAACTTACTCATTGCTTCATTTCCATTAAACAAACCATCCAAATTAGCTCTAGGCTTAACTACCTCAATGCTGGTATTGGTTGCTACAGGGACAAGATGAATTTTACCATCTTTCAGGGTAGCTTCTTTGTATTTTTGGTATACGACAACGTTTGCTGCGTCTATGACAGAAAATAGCTATAGTAATAGTTACGTTGCCAAATTTACATTTTCCCGAAGTTCGGGATATTGTGCATAATCTCCACAAATTACCCCCAAGTGCGAAGTCGCCGCCTCCGATGACTCGAAAACGAAATTTAACTTTGATGGAATAATCTAACGAACTATGGATCCACGTTTTCGTTTGGAAGTGAAACAAAAATTCTTTGTAACCATAAACCAATTTCAAGAGCTTGAGCAGTCTGTAAGTATAGTGTAAGACATCTTTGGAGATTTTCGAGGTTCGGTTCATATTGATGGGTCCTTTGAGTGTCTGAACGAACCAATAAGGAATCACTATTTATTCAATGAATACATTTTATTTTATATATTAGATTAGCTCAAATAAAATTCAACTATTTCAAGTACGTATATACAGGGTGTATATTTTAGGTGGTACCATTATTGCTATATCCAAAACGGTAAAAGCTAAGGTCGGTTAAATCAGAAAAAAGATGCCCATTCAAGACTTGTTAACAGTGTTGCACAATTCCTTTTACTTTATGAAATACAGGGTGATTTCTAGAAAACGCCTAAAAATATTTCATCAATTATTTTGGAAACAATTGATTTTCGAGAAACAATTTAAATTTGGAAGTTTTATGATTTTTTTCGCTCTAAAACACGTGATCTTCAAATTTAAAATCCGACCTTTCATGATTGAGCTACTAACATCAACTTAATTTTTTCAAATACGGACCTGATTGATTTTTTTATGTCATTTTTAGAAAACGCCCTTGATTTCCTTTTTAACGATATAGCTCTTAATTTGACTAATTGATTGGCCGACGTTTCTGCCTGCTCTAAAAAGTGATCATCAAAGATTTTTACTAAAATTTCACCCTAATTCGGCCCTAGTTATAAAACTGTATTTCAAAAACTAAAAGGAAGTTGGCAACACTGTAAGCAAGTCTTCAATGGGCATTAAAAAAGGCAATTTTTATTAAATTGGACCGACCTTACAGCTATTACCGTTTCGGATATAGCAATAGTGGTATCACCTAAAATATACACCCTGTATATCAGCGAGTGGTTCACAACTGTCATCGTTTCTGGCTTCTCCCTTTCGACCCTTTCCATAGGTCTCGATTCCACCAGTCTCCTTCTTGATGGCTTTTTTTTTCCATGGCCTCCATACCGTCATTTTTCCAGCTTCTTGGTGGTCTACCGCGCTTTCGGCACCCTGGTAGGGTTCCATGCTCCATCTACTTCCATCGATCGTCTTATTTCTTCGTTTCTAATATGATCTAGTCTGGATGTTCTGCTACTTCTTTTCCAGTAATCCATTTCCCCAGCAAAGAGCTTTTCCCTGTCCCTTTTTGTTACTTCCCAGGTTTCAAAGCCATACGTAGTTATAGTTTCAACGATGGTATATACACTATGTGACAAAAAAAAACGCATCACTCACTAAAAGTGTACATTTTTTAACAAATTTTCTACATATGTTCATATGTTAATGGTGTAAAAAATGGGGTGATGCGTTTTTTTATCACACATATTATTTTCTTGTTTCTTTTCATTATATTGTTACTAACTCTATAATGAGGAATTGAGTTGGAAAATAATTCTTCGCCCTTGACCAACTTGATTCGAGATGCCTAAGGAGCTTTGGAAGCCATGGAAAGAAAGGGTATCATATATTCGAACGAAGTTCTCCACCACACAATGTCCTAGATATAAGTCACCTGCCAATTCGTCCTACCTCTTTCTGCTCTTTTTTCAATAGGATTTTTAAGAGCAAATACTCCATTTATGCAAGAACGTCCCGCCCTGAAACAATTTTGTTCCTCTTGGAACTTGATTTCTATTCTCTGGCTAGTGAGCTTGTGACGGTGATTCATCGATAGTTCTTTCAGTCCAATATGTTCCCGTTTTTTAGGATCGATGGCATTAACCCTTCCCTCTAGTCTAGTAGGTTGTTCTCCTCCAAGACATTTTGTGAAAATCTTCGAAAGGATCTCTGATCTGTCTTATAGTTTTACTAAAGCGGCTCCTAACACTTCGATATTTAGGTTGCCAAGCCTTTCCATTTTTCATATGAGGCAATAAATGCATTTTGTACTGCCCGTGGTGGTTTTTCTGGGGTCTAGGCGTTTATCTCGTCGTATTCAATTTCATCAGTTTAAATTTGTGGTCTTCTTCTGTTGGTAGATCTCTGTAGTAGTTTGTCCATTTTTTAAGTAGGTACTATGAGGTTTATACCCGCTGAATCAGTTTTCTCCCTTCTTATGCTCTTTAGAAGTTTCCACGCTTTGTTTACTCGCGAAGTTCCCAAACTTCTATTGACTTCACATGATTCTTCTCAGAAGTCGTTTTTTTGCTCTTTTGATCTGTGTTTGAGTGGAACTTAATGATAATAATAATAATAAATGCCTTTATTTAGTAACTTATACTAAGTTACAGGTAAGTAAAGAACAAATCAACATTCTCAATGGCTGATGACATGGCGCAGTCTAGTCACACGGCTACTCTACTGAACCCTGCAGACCCCATGGAAATATAATTTTTAATACTAATCAAAAAATAAACAAAAAAATACATATATGCATACTAATAATGAGAAGCCTACTAGGAGTAATGTACCAAAGATATTTGGAAAAAATATAATATATTATGTAGGTATTAGGTACATAGGTATTATTGACGATTGAGCAGGTACTTGTAGCATACTTTAAATTTTCTAAAATTATACGTAGTAAATTCAGATGGTAAAGAATTGAATAATTTTACAGAATTGTATGTGAAAGATCTTTGAAACATGGCTGTCCGGTGATGAGGCAATGTAATACTATTGAAAGATCTAATACTAAGAATGTACATCGGAACGGAAAACAAATCTATTTCTTAAAGCTAAAGGTATTTCAGGGTTATTTAAGATCTTGAAAAAGAAAGTTCCAGAATGTAAACTTCTACGGTTGCTCATTACTAACCAGCAGTATGGGTCTATTAGAGGATTGAGAAGTTAGGCAATGAGCGGAGAACCACGCAACTTCCTCTAGCAACACCAAAACAAAAAATCACAAAAAAATAAAGTTTTTTCCACATTCCATTGTGTAAAACAACAGTTTTTTGTGCCGGTAGATTCGGTAGCGAATGTGCCTTTTATTCTCGCTTTTCACGCGCAAAAAGTAACGTCGGGTAAGTGCAAAGTAGTGCACCTACCTTGTTTTCTCCGGGGCTTTCGCCCCAACCAAAAATCGGCCAGAAACGCCTAAATCCAGCTTGCCTAATTTTTTGCCCAGATTCCAAAAACTTGGAAAATTTCCGGGGTGGGTACCAATAAATCAAAGACCTCAAACCAAAGTTAGGGCACGTCCCATCGTTAGGGAACGTGTCACTAAAAGTGAGGGTACCATTAAAGCTTCATCCCTCAAGACAAAGTAAGGGCACGTTCCGAAGGCAGGGAACGTCCCAAAAGTTAGGGCACGTCCGCGACTGAGGGCACCCTAAAAAAGTAAGGGGCCGTTCAAACGTAGTGAACGTTCCGTAAGTAAGGGCACGTCGCAAGTGAGGGTTCTTCACATAAGTAAGGGGACGTTCATAGTCACCGAACGTTCCAAAAGTGAGGGCACGCTCCAAGTTACAGAGCGACCCAAACGTGAGGGGACGACTGAAATAGTGGACTCCTATCAAAAGTAAGGGCACAAATACAAAGAAGACGCCGTGAGGGGACGTCCCAAGCGAGAGGACGTCTCGGCAAGTTGGGGCACCCTGCCCAAGTTAGGGTGTGACCCCAAACTCAAGGAGGTACCCCAAGAGGGGCTACCAATCCAAATATGAGCGGCGACGAAGCCGCAAACTATCAATATGAAGCAGCAGCGGACACGGACAATGAAAGTGTCCAAAGCTTCAGCTCCACCGCTTCAATCGGCCCGCCAAGACCAAGCGTGCCAAAAGTTAGGGCACGTCTTGGACAAACAGAACAAACATGCCGAGAGTGTGTTAGGCTCCTAAATTTCTTAGACCAGCACACAGAAGAGAAAAACCAGGCTAACCTCCAAATTGTAATCAACCACATAAGGACCATGCACATTTACCGCATGCCTCACGCTAAAAGAAAATTCACCAGCCCGGAGGAAAACGGAAGCGGAAAAGCTAGGCGTGACTGTGCGCACAGTGGGCTGCGCCCCACTGAGTTTTAGTTTAAGTTCCATGTCCTAGATTTAGGTATGTTATATGTTTTTAGCTTAGTAAGGGGGGCTTAACCCTCCTACCTGGAAATGTAATTCAATGTAATTATTTAAATAAAGATTTTGAGTTGAGTTGAGTAGTACCGGCAATGCTGAAGACGCGGGTTCGAATCCCGCCCATGACCCAAATTTTTAATCCTCCAATTTTCCTTATCTTTTTTCTCATTTTCAATATCAAAATTATTATCATTAGTCAAAGTTTTAAATTCCTGGAAACCTGTAAATATTGACCGTATTCAAATGAGCAATTTTAAATTGAAGCCTTTCACTAAGGTGCACTTCTTTTGTCGACGTATCTTTCTCGATCTTCGCGAGCATTTGTTTCTAGCTGTGTGCTGCTCTACCCAGGTGCAAATTTATTCGGTTTCCTTGAGGGCTCATTTTGCCCTAGACCAGTGCCGGTTTAAGGTAGTTTGCCGCCCGGTGCTACAAAAACGCAGCGCTCCCCGCCCGTTCGGAAAAAAAGAAAACAATTTTTTTGGAGTATTTATTTCAAAAAATGTATTCAATTCTATTATAGGTACAGGAGGGTGTCCCAGGGAGAACAGTCCATCTCGATTTATTGGATTTGGAATTAGAATCTGGAAAAACGCTCGGACACGTCGATTTTTGATTTGAAGGGGAACCGTTGTTCAGTTTTTTTAACCCCCGTAGTTTTAACCCCCTAGCTCGGGGGAAAAACCCCCCAAATTTGAATAGGAGATAGGGGTCGTGTCCTACCTCTTTTTAAAGGTCTCATCGAGTTCTTTATGACCTTAGATTTTCGTCTTATC